GTAGTAATAGTAGTAGTAGTAGTAGTACTAGTACTAGTACTAGTAGTAGTAGCACTAGTAGTAGGAGTAGGAGTAGGAGTAGGAGTAGGAGTAGAAGTAGAAGTAGGAGTAGGAGTAGGAGTAGGAGTAGGAGTAGTAGTAGTAGTAGTAGTAGTAGTATTAATAGTAGTAGTAGTAGTAGTAGTAGTAGTAGCAGCAGTAGTAGTCGTAGTAGTAATACGATCAGGATCAGTACTATCAGTAGTCGTACTAGTATTTTTTTTGTTTTCACAATGTTTACGAATCTTGCTGATAGTAGAATCATATTTCGTGTTATTCGTGTTGGTAGTCATATATGGTTATCAGAAAGAGCGCTGTGGTCGCTTGGAGGGGAGGGGGGGTTGGAACCGGACCCCCCCTCCCGCCCCCCCCCCCTCCTTCCCTAATTCTCTTTCCCTTTCCTCGGGCTGTCGCCTGCGTCGGCGGCGGCTGGCGGCGGCAGGGACGACGATTTCCTTTTCTGGGCCGGCGCCGGGGCCTGCGGCGGCAGGCGGCGGCGGCGGAGAGCGTCGACGAGGACGACGGTGGTGGTGGTGGTGGGTTGTGGTGGTGGTGGTGGCGGTGGTGGTGGTTGTGGTGGTGATGGTGGTGGCGTGGTGGTTTCTTGTGGTGGTGGTGGTTGTGGTGGTGGGTGGTGATGGTGGTGGTGGTGGTGGTTGCGGTCTGGTGGCGGTGTGGTGGTGGTTTGTGTTGGTGGCGGTGGCGGTGGTAAGTTGTAGTGGTGTGGTGGTGGTGGTTTGGTGGTGGGGTTGTGGTGGTTCGTGGTGGTGGTGGTGAGTTGCGGCGGCGGCGGTGGTTTGTGGAGGTGGTGGTGGTGGTGGCGGGCGATGGTGGTGGTAGTATGGTGGTTTGTGGTGGTGGTGGTTGTGTGGTGGGTTGGTGGTGGTGGTGGGTTGAGACAATGGTGGTGGTGGTCGTGGTGGTAATCGTCGCTGCGTCCCCGCCGTCGTCGGCGCCAGCGCCCGCGCTGCTGGCCGCCGCCAGCGCCAGCGCTGGCGCCGGCGCCGAGTGGGGGGGGGGCGGGAGGTTTGAAACCGCCCCCCCACCAACTCTCCTGGCGCCAGGCCCCCCCCCCCCCCCCCCCCCTGTGGGCTGTCTCTGGTCATCGTCGCTGCGTCCCAGCCGTCGGCGCTGCTGGCGGCCGCCAGCGCCGGCGCCGGTGCCGGCGCCGAGGGAGGGGGGGGGGGTGAAACCACCCCCCCGTTGGGAGGGGGGGGGGGAGGGGGTGGCTTTTGGGGGGAGTCCCCTTGGTTTTGATGCCGAGTGTTGGGGGGCCACCCCCGGTTCGAATCGCGCCGCCGAATGTTCCCAAGACAAGCGCCCATTAAACGCGCTCTTTTTTTTTTTCTCTCTCTCTCTCTCTCTCTCTCTCTTTCTCTCTCTCTCTCTCTCTCTCTCTGTCTCTCTCTCTCTCTCTCTCTCTTTCTCTCTCCCTCTCTGTTATCATCACAGCTCTTAGCATGTTATATATATATGTGCATGTATGTATGTGTACGTATATATATGTGTGTTTGTATGTATGTATGACTGAACGAATTGCTGAATGAATGAATGCATGCGTGCATGTATACATGGATGCATGCATGCATGTACGTACATAGGTGTGTGGTACATATATATATGTGTGTATGTATATATGTGTGTATGTATGCATACATGCATGTATGTATGTATGTTTGATTGGTTGTATGTATGTACGTGTGGATGCGTACCCAAATTTAGCACATATCTATATATATTGTGTACATCTATATATATATATATATATGTGTACACGTCGAAGGACTCATCCCAGACTTCCGACGTCGCGTTTTGTGTTCACCCGTCCGCTGAGCACTTGACCCCGTCACTGGGACTCGCTTCTCACTCCCGACGGTTTGTGGCGGGCCCAGGGGGCCCGAGCCGGGCTCCCGTGAAACCCAGAGCTGAAAACAATCGCATAAACAAGTCTTGATGCGCTGAGAGATGGTGATCGTTTCCATATTCAGCGCGGGCCCACGCCCCCACACCCGCACCCCACGGAGTAGAGCTTGGCTGTTTTGGGCGCCTGCCAGACACCCCCCCCCTCCCCCCAGTCTCCGCCCAATGTCGAAACGCCGAATAAGAAAACGTTCAGATTAGTCTCCATTTGGAGCCTTCTGGGGGTCTGAGGTGGCCCAGCACTGGTTCCAGCCAAAAGGAAGCGGGGGCGGGGTCCGAGGCTTCTGGGTTCGGGAGGTTTTTGCTGCCTTGTTTCGGCCTCGAGGGTACGTTGTCGGGCCGCGGGACCGTCAAAAATTGATCAGGGGTGAAAAACGGCACCAATTGGTACGGGGTTTGGGGATCGATTTTGGCTGGATTTGGCTTCATCCTCGCTCCTGGGGTCCCAACCTGTCCAGGCCCCCCAGCCACCTCCTAGTCTCCATCCTTCCTGCGCCTCCTCCGCCCCCCCCTTTGACAAGGACCGCGCGGCCTGGAGGAGGCACTGCACAACCTCACGCAGTTCATCGAGATCAGCCAGGAGTTCACTGGACAGCCCCACGACTGTGAGAACATTATCGTGCAGGCACCAGCTGTACACCAACGCCGATCTCGGCCAGGCCGATCTTGGGGCCAGGATCGGTGTGCACGCTCTCGTGGGCTATGAAGGCGTGTGCACCGTTCCCGGGCCCAGGCTCGGAGTGGCCAGATCGGCGTGTCGGTGCATAGCTGGCGTCCCCGGAGGAATTCTGCGAGCACGATTTGGAGCTCCGGATGTACGTCGTGGACGGGGTCATCGAGTCGCAGATCTTCACAAAGTTTTGCAAGATCAAGGAGAATCGGGAGTTCGGCGACTTCAAGCAGACATTCTCCAAGTCTCAGGCCGCGAAGGACTGGATGGGCGGTGACCACGCGGCAATGGACGACGGCGAGAGGCAGTGCCGCGAACTGACAGACCACTGGCTGGCTTGGGCTCAAGCGCAGCTGTGCGAGATGCCCCCTGCCATCCGATTCGACTACTTCGTCGGGCGGAGCAGCGCTGGCGGCGGGAAGGCGGTCGTCTGGACCCTGGAGATATGCGAGCTGGGATTTAGCATGCTTGGCGAAAGCAAGTTGCCAGCGAAGGTTTTCCAGGCCATGCTCCAGTCGTGCCTGGAGTGCTCCCAGGCTGATTCTGCCGCCGACGAGGACCAAGAGCCCGCCAAGACGGGGGCAGAGGGCCCAGCGAGCAAGGGAGCTCCAGACGTAGCGGTGCCCAAGAAGAGCCGAAGGCGTAGGTGAGCATCGCAGCTTGAGTGCCTCCCTCCTCCCTCCTCCCTCCCCCCTCCTCCCTTGATACATCTTACATGTCTTCGCGCTTCGCTCTCCGAGATCGTGGTGCCATGGCTCGCAGCGCCGCCGCGAAGTTGCGGCGCTGCATGGGGCTGCGTCGTGCAGGTGCGTAGGGGCGGGGCGGAGGCAGGCAGGCTCGCTGGCTTCGTTCGCTTAAGCAAAATGAGGATTCGTTGTAGCGTGCGTGGGTTTGGGGGGAGGGGGTGAGGGGAGGGGGGGGTGGGGGGGGGGCGCACGGGGGTGTGTGTACGTGCCACGTGGTGCTGTTTGTGTGTGCTTGCTGTGTGCGTGTGTCGTGGCTGTGTCGTGTCCATATGTGTGCGTGCCGTTGCGTGTGTGTGTGTGTTGTGTGTGTGCGGTTGGGTGGGTGGGTGTGGGTGGGTGGGTGCGTGTGTGTGTGTTTGCGCGTGTGTGTGTGTTTTTGTTGTGAGTGTGTCTGGTCATGCTTGTGGTTGTGCTAGTGCGTGTGTTCGGATGTGTGTGCGCATGTGTGTGTGTGTCTCTCTATGCTTGTTTCTCTTTGAATGTGTGTGCGTGTGGTTTGTGTTGGGCCGGTCCGCGCGCAGGTAGACGGCGGCGTCGTCATTGTCGTCGCCAACGTCGACACCGTCGTCGGCGTCGTCGACGTCCTCGTCGTCGTGGTCGTCATTCTCCCCCTTCCTGCTCGTCGACGTCCTCGTCGTCTCGCCGCGAGGGTCCCGCGCCGAACTCTCGGACTGTACCTCGCCGAACCCTCGGCTACCCTCTGTGGAGGATGGGGAGGATGGGGAGGAGGAGGAGGACCAGTGCAAACCCAAGAGTCATCAACGATGTTGGAATGAACCATCCCTCCAAGCTCCGTCTTCATAGGCCCCTACAACGGTTCATTTCCATTGAGGGAACTGCCTCGTTGGAAGACAACCGTTTGAAGATCCTGAAACATGCAAAAACATTGTTCTCGGGATTTCAACGCTACATATCAACCTCACAGCTGCGTTTTGTCAAGGGCATAAGAAATGCCCCTACCCTGGTTTACGAGGCGCTGTGCGCTGAAACTCCTGCGGGCTGTCAGGGTAAACCCTGCGTGGTGTGCGGCGTCCTGGCGGCTCTTTAGGCTTTTGGTGTTCCCAGGAGGTTTACAGACCACGCACTTGTAACCCAGGGTAGGGTCGTTTTTTCATCCTTCAATTTTGGCGATCTGGAATCGTGCCATAACGTCATTTTTGTTGATTTCAACACCGCGAATCAACAACTGTATAATCTTGAATCCTTCCAAAACACAATGTTTGGTACGTTGGCCCTGGGAATCCGTGAAACTCTTGCAATGTTTAAAACGAATGTGCGCGGCGCTAAGACAAGAACCACATTTTGAAAAAGAACCGCCCTCACGCCGTGAAGGTCTTGCAAATGTTACACAGAATCGGCGCCAAGGCGAGAGCCACATTTTGAATAGGATCCGCCCTCAATCCGTGAAGCTCTTGCTAACTTTGAAATCGAATGTGTGCGGCGCTAAGGCGAGAGCCACAGTTTGAAAACCACCTGCCCTCAATCCGTGAAACTCTTGCCATTTTTTAAACTGAACGTGCGCGTCGCTAAGGCAAGAGCCACATTTTGAAAAGCACCCGCCCTCAATCCGTGAAGCTCTTGCGATGTTTACAAGGAATGTGCGCGGCGCTACGGCGAGAGCCGCATTTTGAAAACCACCCGCCCTCCATCTGTGAATATGCGAATATGTTATCATTTTTGAATTTTCAGAGTCATAAGTGGTGAGGAATTCTCAGGCAAAACGCCCGGCACGCCCTAAAAATTGGCCTCGGGGTGCGACATGGAGGAGCTATCTAGAAGGAGAAGGAATGGAGAGTGAGCGAGAGCAGGGAGAATGGAGCAATGGGGGGATGGAGTAATGGGGGGGGAGAGTGGGGTAACGGGCAGCGTGGGGAAAGAGGGAGGAGGGAGGAGTAGGAGGAGGAAGAGGAGGAGGATCGGGGGAGCCGACAGTCAGGATAAGCGGGGTGGCTGCGAGAAGTGATGCGCGCAGCCGGTTTCGGCCCTGCCGCGGGGCGCAACTCCTCGACGCACAGTCGCTCCCAGCGCCTCCCGGCGCAGAAGCGGCCAGCATCATGCAGCTGACTCGCCAGCCTCCCTTTCTGCTATCCCCCCACCGCCCGTCCACCCCCGAAGGACGAGGGAGGAGGGGGCCTCCTTGGCCACCAGTGCATCATGTTCCTCCCTCTCATTATCGTCACCCTCCCTCCTCCATTCTGTCCACCTACCTCATTACTCCTCCTGCCCCAGTCGTCCTTCTCATCCTCATCCTCGTCCCATCGTTGTCACCACCGTCATCCTCGTCTGAGCTGCTCAGCCTCATCCTCCCCGTACGCGTGACCCTCCCACGGTCAGATCTTCCTACTCTTCGCTCCATTATCCTCCCCCCGTGCCACGCATCAGCCCCCAACCCCCTCTCGCCCCGCACCCCTCCCCCGCCCTCGTCCTCGCCCTCCGCGCCGCCGCCCGCGGCGCGTGCTTGGCCCGAGGGCCCGCCACGGGCGCGCCCTGAGGACCTCGTAGGACCGTCCTCTTTGTGATTTCAGTCATATCCCGTTCATTGCGAACCCAGCAGGCGCTTTGGACCCGCGCGCGCCCGCCCCGCGCCCGATGGAGTGGAGCGAGGGAGGAGGTGGGGTGAGGAGGAGGAGGAGGAGGAGGAGGAGGAGGAGGAATGAGGAGCGAGGACTGAGGAGTGAGAGGAGGAATGAGGAATGAGGAATAAGGAGTGAGGAGTGAGGAGTGAAGAGTGAAGAGTGAGGAGGGGGAGTGGGAGGAGGAGGAGGAGGAGGAGGAGGATGAGGAGAAGGAGGAGGGGGAAGAGGAAGAGGAAGGGGAAGAGGGAGGAAGGCGAAGGAGTGAGGGAGGAGGAGGAGGAGGAGGAGGAGGAGGAGGAGGAGGAGGAGGAAAGAGCGTGAGGGAGGAGGAGGAGGAGGAGGAGGAGGAGGAGAAGGGAGGAGGAGGAGGAGAGGAGGAGGAGGAGAAGGAGGAGGAGGAGGTCGAGGAGGACTCGGCTGGACTAGAACCATGGGCTCGGGTCGCACTCAAATGTTCGCACAGATTCATTATCGAAATTCGCCTGTTGTTGTTTGAGACGTTGTCGTGCTCACGCTCACCCAGACGACAGGAGCAGGGAAGAGGAGGAGGAGACACAGGCGCCGCTAATTCAACAAGAAGACGGAGCAATGAGTAAAGAGACAGTATCACCCCCACGGCGACGGTTGACGCTGCACTCGCCTTCACCGCAGCAGTGTGCTTGCCAGCATCCTCCAGATCCGCCAGATCTCGGAGATTCTCGATTTGTCCGCACCCGAGTTCATCACTGTCCTGGCCTCGTCCGAAGAAGAGCGAGGAGGAGCACACGCTCGCCAGGATGCGACCAGCGCGCGCCGGGCGGGCATGCGGAGCCGCCCCGACATCCACGAGATGCGGAGGGCATTGAAGCCCATGAGGGGGACACTCGCAGGACAGGAGGCGCGCCCCTCGAGCACGGAGCCCGCGAGGGGCACGGAAGCCCAGGAGGGGCACGGAAGCCCGTCGATCGGCCTGTGAAACGCGGAAAAACTAATAACGCTGCCAGAGGAGGCGCTGGTCACCACTGCCTGACCACTGCCTGTCTCTCGCCGCTGGTGGCCCCTGTCCCCGTGGCGGGATGGAGGCCACGAGCTCGTGGTCGACTCGTTGCCCACTTGCCGAAGGCCCGAGGACTCACCGGGACCCCCGCAGCGCCCCCTGGGCTCAAAAAAACAAAAACGCTGCCAGAGGAGGCGCTGCTGAAGCTTGCGGGGACGTGCGCGGCATCGTCGCGGAGCGGGCGCACGGGCCTGGGCGCTTGGGCCCAGTGGTGCCCAGGTCACGGTGGCAAGGGCGACGGTGAAGGCCCCAGGCGGGGCAGGTGCATTCCCAGTCCAAGATGTCCGTTGTCTTGAGGTCCCTCCCTCCCTCCCTCCCCCTCCTCGCAATCCCATTCCCAGTGCAAGATGTCCCTCCCTCCCTCCCCCTCCTCGCAATACGGGGTCCCCAGGGGCCTGAACCTTTGCCTCGGGGCCAGCTCTTCATCCTGATTCGCTCGTTGACAGTCCTGGGGCTCGGCGAGGGCCCTGAGGGGCCGAAAATAGCGAAAGGCATCCGCCTTGAGCTTCCCGAGGCGTTGGAGGTCTGGGGTGCCAAATCATTGGTCGTGTGGAGGTTCTGGATGCGGGTCCGCGCCCACTGCCAGGCGGGCGACTTGCCTCGGGGACCTCTGGCAGCGCTCTCAGACGGGACCCTGGAGAGCACCGAGCAGTGGAGGCGTGCGTGCGACTCTGGGACTCCCAGGCTGCTCGCGTGGCGGCGACAGCGAGCCCCGGAAGGCGGCGGGAGGAGGCTGGCGACGGAGTGGGGGGGCAACCGAGGAGACGGAGAGTGGATGATGGGCCTTCTGGGGAAGAGGGCACCAGACGGGGATGACTCAGGGGATGACTGAGCCCCGATCGCCCAAAGATCGCCGACGGGGGGGCCCAGGGCCCACCCCGCCCAGGAAGGTGCAGATTCGCTATCAGGGGCATATCGCCGATCAATCGGCGATGTATCGCCGATTCCACGTTGATATTCCCCCCCGATCTAGGTGCGCTCCTTGCTGCGCTCATGGCCCTTGCTCCGATTGCGAACTTACGTCTTAACTTCGAGAAGTGCCGGATTATCCTTTGTTGCGGCGCGGGCGCAGGTAGGCTGGCGACCGTTTTGGAGACGTTCGGTGCACCAATTAACCTGCTCCAGGTGGCCCAGTGGGCTGTTTATCTGGGGTTCCCGATTGGGCCGAATGCCGCCCCCGAGGTTTGGCCTGCCGTTCTTCCCAGTTTCGTGTCGAGGGTGCACCAGACTCGCCATCTCGGTCTAGGGATCGCTCAGTCTGCCTGTGCGTTCCGTGTGTGTGTGTGTGTGTGTCGAAACTGCTCTTGCTACTCAGCTGGAACACTAGCAGCAGCCCATAACTTGGAGGACTGCTATCCCACGATTGTCTCGCTGCACGAACTCCACGCAGGGCCGCGGACACCCGCTCAACTGAAGGACATTCTTGACATTCTTGACGTGGGCGGCCTCAGCATTAGGTCACCCTGACCATTGACGTGTAATCTGCCATGCAAAGACCCGAAGCAACAGACTGGATGCACTGAGCCCCGTCTTCCCAAGAAGACGCGCCTTGACCAGGCCATGCCGGCGGACTCAATCAGTCCAGCGGGACGGCGGCATTCGGTTTCACGTAAGAGTGACCCTTTGTCAGAGTGGCCTTTGGTGCGGGCTCACAGGGGTCCCCCCAGCGTTGGCCTGTGTGCTTGGATTTGGCCCACCAGCGGCACCTAAGGACTCGCACCAAAGGTCATTCTTGCCCAGGGCCACTCTTGCGTGCAGCCGAGGCACACAGGCCCAGGGCCGTCTCAGGAGGCGGGCGCCAGACTGGGACGTTGTCCTCGGGCTTCTCAGAGAGGGCGCGCGCTGGTCGGGCCTCGCCGGGGGAGCCCCGGCCCCCTCGAGGCGATGATCTCCCCGATCGCCGGAGGAGCTCGTCCGAGGGCGGGCCGTGGGGAGTACAAAGCCGCGGCGGCAGTCACGCTGTGGCGGGAACTCTCCTGGCGCGGAAGGAGAACGAGAGGTTCCTTGCAAAGGCGCTGGAGCAGGTTCAGGCCGCCCTCGCGGCCGAGTTCGACCCCGATTCGGTTGCTGTCTTGATCGGGGCTGTCCACTCGGACTCCAGGATTCCTGCCATTCGCCGGAGCGGTGACGACGTCGACTGCGACGAGCCCCTGCCGCCGCGCACGCGCTGCACTGGAGAGGCGCCAGACGCGGCGCTGCACCTCCTGCGGTGCTAGCTGCGTTTGCATTGGCCAGATACTGAATCTCGGCCGAGAGTGCTCCCGGCCCAACGCTTGGGGGCGGAGGGTGCTTGCGGGGCTTGCCAAGGGTCGAGTCCTCTTTCGTGGCAAGTGGGTCGCCGTCGAAGTACGGCCCTTCGGTCCGTCCCAGTCTCCTGCCGCTTCATCGTTCGGGTGAGGCATGATGTGAGCAGTTGAAGTCAGGTCACACTGACCTTGCTGTTCCCATCTGAGTCTCCAGGAAGAGGATGGGGAAGAGAGGGAGGCGGGGGGGGGGAGGAGGAGCAGCAGGATCAGGAACGGGGAGACGGGGAAAAAAGGAGGGAGAGGAAAAAGGAGCACGAGGAGGGGCAAAAGGAGGGAGAAAGCGAAGTGTAGACAGAGAATAGAGAGAGACAACGGGCGAGGGATGAGGGAGACGCCAGCAGGGAGCCCCGACTTCCGACGACTCCGTTCGTTCGAGCCGACGGTCCCTAGATTGCCCGTCCCAAGAGTTAGCACTGAATCCTGAGTTTTGTTCTTATCGCCCCGGGGGCCCCCAGTCCTGCCCCCGGGGAGGGCGAACGTCGAGGATCAGTGCCCAGTGCGGTCCGCGCGGGCGGGCAAGTTGTGTGGGAGTGGAGAGAGGGGGCGGCTTCGCATGTTCCTCGGCCGCCAGGAACTCGTTTCCTTTCCATACACCATGGCACAGACGATCAACATCTCGCAGATCAGGCCCCGCGCCCGCGCGCCCCCTTCTCCAGCCCTCAGGGGGCGGCTGGGGCGAAGGAAAACAGGTTGTTCGCCGTGTTGTCGAAAGGAGGATCAGGCGGAGGAGAAAGAGGAAGAGGAAGGGGGAGGGGGAGGAGGAGGGAGACAGAGAGAAGGCGGAGGGGGAGGGGGAGGGGGAGGGGGAGGAGGAGGAGGAGGAGGAGGAGGAGGAGGAGGAGGAGGAGGAGGAGGAGGAGGAGTATGAGTATGAACCAATGGCGAAGCCAGTCGAGAATAAAACTGGGCTTAAACCTCGGGGCACAGAGACACCTTCCGCTGCCGCCGTTCAAGGTCGGCCTTGCTTAGGGCTTTGGGCGCTAGCCCGTCTCTGATGCGATCAAGGTAGACCTTACCCGTGGGGGTAATATCCGAGCAGGCCTTCCCAAGGGACCGAAGCTGCTGGTCCGAGAACGCACCGCATCTACCACAGAACCAAATTCGGAGTGCCATATGATAATTAAGGAGATGGGAAGAGTGTAGCCAGCCCCCCGCGACGTGAATCCGACTTCCTACAGCTGGAGACAAAAGCGTGCCGTCCACATTTACAAGCGGGGGGCACACTGAGTTCCAGAATTCGGTGGTCGTGGCTTTTGAAGCCGAGCCAAAACACTTCGTACACTTCTGTCTGCACTCCGAGAGCCTGTGAGCCGAGAGGAGCGGGGCGAGAGCAGCAGCAGCGGGAGGGCGGGGAAGGGGAGGAGGGGGAGGCGGGACCCCCTCTCTTTTCCTGTCCCGCGCTTCCAGGGCCGCGGATTTCTCTGCAACAAAACAATCGAGGGTGGCTTTGAGCAGCCTCGAACGAACCAAAAGGGCCCGCCTTTCATGAATCTGAATTTGCTGGCGAACGGATTCGGGGATCCTGCACGCCAGTGCAGCAGCCCCCGCAATCTCGTCAACAACAGTATTAGCTAGCACGAGACTGCTGGTTGCCCGCCCCGCGCAAATGTCCTCCTCGTCTTGGTGACTGGGAGTAAAGAGCACAGAAACGCAGTGATGGGGGCGGTGTAGCATCAGCTGTCTAATGAGAGCCCACAGGTCGGCGTCAGGTCCCCTCGGCGCTCTGTACGCACACTCGTACCAGCTGTTGGCCAGGGGCTCAAAATCAGTAATGTAAACCAGGTGTTCGCGGGTCGTTTTAAGGGCGAGCATAAACGCACACAGCTCGCCCCTAGCAACGACCTGTCTTGGCCCCCAAAGTGGGCCAGATATGGAAGATTCGACCACGAGCGGGTGGAGGGAGGCAAACTTAACAATAGCAACACCTACGCGACGGAGCCTGGGTGACTTCGAGTCGGGGCCTCCAGAGGCGTCACCCGCAACGATGACAGGCAGCTCACGGGACCCCACCCCCAGGCACCCGACTTCAACCTCGTTAGCGCCCGTCGCAAACCAGGCAGGGGCAGAAACAGGAGGCGGAACAGTTGTCCAGTCCCTAGGGATGAGGCCTCTGGCCCAAAACCCTTCTTCACTATCGAACTGCGCTAAGGCCTGGGGCACTAAGTGCTCAGAGGAGGCGTAAGCCTGCGAATTTTCGTTCTCCCTGCATTCCCAATATCTATGCTTCGCCGTCTCAGGAGCTGCACGGCATCTGTCACAGATGTTGTCTCCCGCATATGTCCTGATGAGACTGGCTTTCCTGTCCTTGGTCCAGCAGCCCGCAGTGGATACCATCACCATGGTCTCCGCCAGCCTCTTGCCATTGTCAGCCTCGCTGAGCTGTCTGACCAACCTGCGGTACGAATCGTTGTCCACGCCATTCTGCAATCCAGATTCCAGATACTGCGTGCTTGCATGACGCCACGTATTGACATACAGGGACTCCTTGAGGTCGGACAGTATAGCATCGTGTGTGTCAATATGCGGGTCGCCTGTGTAGCACTCGTCGGGGAAGTTCCATTCTTCATACGAGTTCGGGCCAGTGGGGTAACTCCACGCGGTTGCAGTAGTTGGCGTCCATCCCGCCCGCAGAAGGTTAAGGATGACTGCCGACACTGGTCCTCGAACTTGTTGTGCCTGCTCGGCGTGGGTCTTCCCTTGGAGGTTGCTCAAGATAACCGGCCAAATGCGCCTAACCGAAGGTCGAATAGCTGGGTGGTCTCGCCAAGTACGCAGCCACATGTCGACAGCCTTGACGGGCAGCGTGTGCGCGGGGTCCATGTCGGGAGTCTTGATGTCCAGCAACGCAGTCAGGCACCTGCCTCGATTCCCCGCTGAGACCGACTGCCCGAGGCGACGGCGGACCGCGACCATCTGCTGGCCAAAGACCCCATGCACCTGGTGGCCATAAAGGCCTGCAGGGGGGCCGCCCTGCTTCTGTAGTTTTCGCCGTAACGTGGTACTGCCTGGAGGCCTTAGTGAACTTGCGGATCTTGGTGGAAATCTGCTTGTGCTTGGTCTCCCGTGCACGTCTGGTCATCCTGGCCATCCTGCCGCAGCCGAAGTCGACGCCTAGGTACGTGGCCTGTGAAACGCCCCTGATTTCATAACCTCTGCTGCGAACATCCTTGACGATAGCACGTGTGTCATGCATGTTGGTGCACATGATGATGGACTTCGCGGCAACTTTCAGCTTCCTGAGCTTCAGCTGCTCACACGTGAACACAATGCATTCCACCATCTGTCGTCTGAGTGCCTTCCTCGAACCTGCCATACGTTGGGATAAGTCGTCGATCCACAATCTGTGATCGAACTGCGGGTGCACGGTCGTAACTGATTTCATCACGAAGTGTGTGAGGGCCTTGGCAAAGCGCGTGCCCGAGCGTAGTCCTTGGACTACACTCTGGCTGGGTTCGAACGGGTCAGTCGCCGCGCCCATTTGTTCTAGTGCCCTGGGTGCAACACATTGCACCAGCTCGAGGTAAAGCAACAGGAGGAAATTTGAGACGAAGTGCTGCTGCTACTAGAGGCTGCCATGGTATTGAATCGTAGAAGGCTTCTATGTCAAGCATAGCGTGCCCGTGCTGCATTTTGAAATTATGAGCGACCTCTTCACTTATCGAACGTAAAAAAGCCTCTTGGAGGCATGAATTGCCACGAATAGCAGCGTCCCAATGTGCTGATTGCTCTCAACTCCAAACCTGAATTTCATCTTCACGAATCATTGACCACACTCGGCCCAGCATCGAGACCAAGCCGATCGCTCGGTCTCCCGAACTCTTCTTGGGAGTGAGCCGTGCAAGGATCAGAAGCACCTGCACAGGCCACGCGAGGGCGGCCCCCCCTGCCTCCAGCAGCAGGGCCATCTCGGCCAAACCTGCTGCTGGGAGGCGCTCGTAGTCGACGGGCGTGAAGCCGTCCACGCCAGTGCCTGCGTTCGCCCTCATCCTTCGGCACGCCATGACGATGCTGGCGGGGCCGATGGGCTCCAGCGGGGCGTCGGTGGCCTCAGCTCGGATCTGCCTGAACAGCTCCCTGGTGTCGCTGAGGCTGACGGCAGTGGGTGCCCATAGCTTCTTATAATGCTTCATCTTCTCGTCCATGATATCTTTGGGGTGGTAGATGGCGCGTCCGTCCATGGCCAGCTCCACCGCTGGTAGTACCTTGGGCTTCAGAGACTTGTGGAGGATCCCGCGCGCCTTCGGTTCCGTCACCCACTGGCGGAAGTCGTGCAGCGATGACTGGACTGCTACCCGCTGGGCTCGGGCTGCCACACGCTTGGCGCACCGTTCCCACGATTCCAGTACAGGTAGGGCAGCCTGGCCTCCACTGCGCAGAAACTCGGTCCACTTCTCCCACGGCGGGTCCTTGTCGAGCCTTGGCAAACCATGGGCGTCGACAGGCACATCGCCAAGGAGCTTGTGGCAGGCAGTGCGGTATCCTTCCAGCTGTACGTGTCCGTTGTCACGCAACGTGTGCCGCAAGACTCCAGCCACAACAGTGCATACTCTCGTCCACCAGTGAGCACGGCCATCTCGTAGATGGAGCTGCCGACGGTGTGACGCCTCGCGGACCGAGCGTACTCGAAACTGTGGACCGTTCGCATGCGGCGTGCCAGCCATGGCTTGATCGTGATGCGCGAGGATGGTGCGCTCTGCCGTGGTCGCCCACGCAGCATATAGACCTGATATTGTGGCGGAGTGTTTTGGTTCGAGCCGAAACGCTACGGAGTGCAGCAAAGGAGGGGAGACATATTCTAAACAAGTGGCTCCTGACGCAAACCCAACATCTTCCCGAATCTGACACCACAACTCCTGCGGTATCTTGAACGACGGTTCGGGGGTGGTCGCGCCAGGGCCGGTCTGCTCGGGCTCGGCTCCTCGGGTGTCTTCCATGGCATGGCCGTTTAAACCGTCAGAGGGGGGCTGGCTCGAATTGGGGGGGGGCAGAGACCGCACATAGACGCGTCGATGCCAGCATTGGCACCAGTCTCCCGATGACTGTCACATGCTGGCTGATTCGGAGTCCTGGGCGCGGGGAGGGGGGTCGAGGGAGGGGCAGCAAGAGCAGGCGTGACGATATGCTGGCTGATCGTCACGTCGGGACAAAAATTGAGCTCGTTTTCCCAAGGGTCGGGCTCATCAGGCCAGACATCGAGGTCGAGCTCTGGTTCAAAATCTTGAGTCGTAGGATCCATCCCAGTAGGACCCTCAACTCTCCCTACTTCGTCGTGAGACTCAGACTGGACACAGTCCCCAAAAAGAGAATTTATAATCCCAACACGCTTGGCAGCAGCCTCAACTTGGGCCGTCTGCCTCAGATACTTCGCACGGGAGCTCTTGGAGCCAAGAGTGGGCGCCGTCTGGGGCCTAGACACCTGGGGCAGCCTAAGGGGCATCTCGAGGACCCTGGTGACCAACTGGAGGCCCGAGCTCCTAAGAGTGAGATTCAGGCCTACATGTGGTTTCCAGCTCACATCACGAACGACGGTCAGATCCTTGACGAAGGGAAGGGCAGATTGCGAGCATACCATATAATCCAAGAGTGAATCTGGTGCATTTTTCCTCGCGCACGTGCCCACACCTCCT